GTTGGTACATCATGCGCTTCCCCTGTGCATCGCGCGCCGCACAAATTCCCGCCAGCGGGTGCCGCGCAAATTCCCGCCAGCGGGTGGGTCACCCGAGAACTGGTTGAGAAAAACCACTTGTGTCACTGGCATGCCGGGCCTTAGCATGAATTTGCGCATTCGTACTCCACGCGTCTCCCCCGTGTAGTGCGAGCCGCGCAGGTGACCCCCTGGCGGGTGGGTCACCCGAAAAGTGGATGAGGAAAACCATGTGTCAATGACATCCGGGGCCTCAGCATGACTTGGCGCACGTGTACGCCGCGCACTTCCACTGTGCAGCGCGCGCCGCACATGTGTCCCACCAGCGGGCGGGTCACTCGACGACGGGCTGCGGGAAAACAGACATGTTTTCCCCAGCGGTCTGGGCATCAACGTGAGCTGTTGCGCGCTTCCCCTGTGCAGCGCGTGCCGCGCTGGTGACCCGCGGCGGGCGAGTCACCCAAGAACAGGTGGAGACAAATCAGCTGCTTCAGTTGCATCGCGCCCTGGCCCAGGGCGCAAGGAAAAAATGCGCGCGGACGCGGAAGCCAACCGCTCGACGCGCGATTCAGCTTCGAAAGCCGCGGGGGAGCGAGTTGCGCGCGGCGGCGCTGGGCCCATGTGGCACCGAAGACTCGCGAGCGCGAAAATCGAACGCCACCGCGAGCACGCTCGCGCCCGCTCCCACGCAAATGCAGTGTCGTGCATTCACGCATGCGCATGTAAAAAAATACACCGACACGCACGCACACACACGCACGCACACACACACACAGCGGCGTTCCTTGTCCAACACGCATGTTTGAAGTGGCGCTGGGAAAACGCGCATGTCGTCATTCGTCTACGAATCAAGGGCACTCGGGATCCGGGGGGGGGTGCGCGGAGGCAGGGGGGTGGCGACGGGTCATTTTTGTTGAAACAGGCTCTGGACATTGCGGGTGCCGGAGGGGCACCGTGAAGCGCTTGGGGCGCACGGCAAGGTGGGAGTCCACGAAGAGCCGGGACGCGAAAGCCATGGCCAGGGCCGCGGAACGTAACCAGACAGGGTATCGAGGAGGGAGCGGGGCCAGTTCGAGCCTCCGCATGCGACGTCATGGAAGACCAGGCGAAGACCGACGCCTGGGGCAAACGGTCAGGCAGGGCGGCCACGCGCGCCGTCTCCCGCCTCCTCAGCCAAGCCAGGGCACCCACTGCCAGAGCGTTGCCCTCGCTCTGCAGGGGCGCGCATCGCCGCCGCTCGGACAGCGGAGGCGCCCGCCGTTTCGGAGGCGACGGCCGCGGCCGCCCACTGCCGCCGCGGCCGTCGCCCCCTGCCGCCTGCAGGGAGCACCCGCAGTGCAGGGGCCCGTCTGGCCTCTCGAACGTGCCCCCCGGACCGGGGTTTGCGCGCTGCCACCCGAGCGCTCGCGCTAGCGGACAAAAAGCTACGGGCGGCCGGCGCGCAAGACCGGGCCGCCTCGCGCGGCAAGCAGCCTGTCCCACCCGCGTAATCGTTCAGGGTCGAAGTCGGGCGGCTGCGCCCCAGGCCCTGTCCGAGGGTCGGGGATCTGGGCCCAAGCCCTGTCCGGGGGTCGGGGTTTCGTTTCTCCCAGACTGTCTGGGGGACGCGAAACGGAGAGCGAACCATCTGCAGAAACAGCGCTAGAACGAGCATCCCAGGCCTGGGCGCCGCCAACCGCCTCGTCCCATTCCCGAGCGGAGCCGCCCCAGTCACCCCAGCCCCCGTCTCGCCCATGGGCCTCATGCCCTTCCCCAAGGCCCGCGAGCGGCCCGCGGCCATCCGGCATCCGCGCCCGCCCGCCCCGCGCGCAGGGAGGCGCCGCAGATATTCGCGAGGAAGGCCGACCGTCTGCACGATGCCGCGGGCACGTTTTTACCTTCGCACCTTCGCCAGAATCTTCAACGCGGAAGGCCAGATCAGTCGTTCCTCACGGCGTCGACGCAACGTTGTCCTCAGGGTGGGAAACAACTGAAACTGATGGGCTGGCGCGCGAGGGCATTGCCACAGCGCCGCCAGGTCGGCGAAAGGCCGCGTCAGACGGGGCGGCACCAATGCCAGGTGGAGCCGACTGCGCTGGCGACGGTGCTGGCGTCGGTGCTCCCGGCAGTCCTGGCGAGAGTCCCGGCGCCGGAGATCCGTGCTGCGCGGGGAAGGGCGCTGGCGCCGGGGGCCCACGCTGCGCTGGCGGCGATGCTGGCGACGGTGCTTCCAGCTGGGCTGGCATGGGCGCTGGCGACGGTGGTCTGCGCTGTGCTGGCGAGGGTACTGGCGTCGGAGACGCACGTTTGGCTGGCGAGGAGGCTCTGGTCTCAACGCTGGAGTGAGTCGCGTGGGGCCTATCATGTTATAGTCACGTTGGGCGCCCGGCATGGCGACTGGCCGAGTGTCGACGTCGGGGGGGGTCGAAGAAAGCATCAGACATGGCGGGCACGCCCTGAGGAGGAGGGAGTGCGACGCCTGATTTCATCGCCTCAGCTGGTCGCCTCGGGCCCCAGCTTCGCACCCCGCATCGAGGGAAGGGGGGAGCGCGGGCGCTAGTGTTCCGTAGTGCGTTGGCGAGGATGCTGGCGTCGATGCCCCAGTCAGCGCCGCAGCCGGAGAGCGCGCCTTGGGCGGCGGTGCTGGCGAGAGCGCTGGCGGGTGATCTGCGCCGCGCTGGAGAAGATGCAGACGTCGATGCTCACGGCTGAGCTGGCGCGGCTGCTGGCGTCGTTGCTCCCGACTGTGCTGGCGAAGATACTCGGCTGTGCTCCCGACTGCGTGCTGTGCGGCTGTGCTCGCCGATGCCCCCAGCATTGCTCGCGGAGATGCTGGTTTCGGTGACGCGCGCTGCGCTGGCGAGGATGCTGGCGTCGGTGCTCCTGGGCGCGCTGGCTGGAATGCTGGCGCCGGTGATCTACGCTGTGCTGGCGAAGATCATGGGATTGACGATCCGCGCTGTGCTGGTAAGATGCGGGCGGGGGGTGGGTCGAGTCGGACGCCGGCGCGGGCGTCGGGGGCAGCGTCTGGCACGGCGTCGGGCGAAGCGTCGGGCTTGGCGTCGGGAGGGTCGTCGGGAGGGTCGTCAGGGAGGTCGTCGGGGGGGGCGGGAGGTGATGGGGGGGAGAGAAAAAGGGAGAAGAGAACGGGGATGGGGGGGCCAGAGAGCGCCCACCGCGCTGAGAGCACAGCCCAGGTGATCAGAGAGCCTCGGTACGCGGCCAGGGGAGGGGCGATCAGCAACTGAACGAACATCAGGGCTGCAACACACCGTTAGGTACAGCGCTCGCGGGAACAGGACGGGATGCGCACGAACGTCACAACCCCAGGTCGGACGCGTCGGGGGGCGCGTCGGACTGGGAACGGCAGGGCGTCGGTCTGGGCGCGGGGTGAGGCGGAGGGCTGAGCGTCGCGCTCGTTGTATGTCGAGGCGCTGGATAACAAAGAAGGCCGCTGCCACTGCCCTCCGTCGTCTCCATCGCTGATCTCTCCACTGTAGCTGATCGCGCTGCGATCCGACTGTGTGCCCCAGTATGTCGATGAGCAGCGCCGTGCCCCGCTGCCGCTGCCCTCCTTTCTCGAGTGCTGGTCCTGGCAGCTGGTCGCGCTGATCCCGTGCTGGCGCTCGTGGATCCCCTCGATGTAGCTGCTCGTGTTGGTCTCAACATGACTGACCTGGCTTGGGACGCAGAAGGACACACTATAAGTATGAGGTGTCTTCCTCGGATGCGTGCGTCCGAACCCGGCATAAAGCACAACCATCTGACAGATCCTTCCCCAAGAGGCAGAGGTATGGCCGGAGCGCCCGCCACGGGGCATATCAAATTTCGCGGCCACTGCTGCCGCGGCCGCGCCGGCAGCCGCCGCTGCGTCCGCGGCCGCCGCGCCAGCCCCCGCGGAGACTGCAACAGTCGCGTCGACCGCAGCAGCCGCGGCGACTGCAGGCAGACCGGGATGGTCTTCGCCAGAGACGGCCAGGGCAACAACGAGCCGCGGGGCCGCCGCCCGCCGCTGGAGGCGCCGCGCGGCCGCCCGCGGCAGCCCACCAGGAGACGCAGACATGGCAGCGGGGAGAGGGGCGTCGAGAGGAGGAGGCGGCCAAAGCCCAAGGAAGACTCCGGCCACCAGGCCGCGCGGGACAACCTTGAGCCGGAGCGGCCTGAGCCAAGGGCTTGAGCCAGAGGGCTGCGGAACGCGCAGGGAATCACGCCTCCTCAAAGCTCCAGAACATAGATGTGGATTCCGTGACCCTCCGCGCACCGCCATCCTCGATACGGCTCCGTCGGAGCATCCATGCGTTTCGATGCTGACCCTGTTAGCTCGCGCGCGTGCCGCTCGCATCACGAGCCAAGTGAGAAGAACACCACCACCCTCGACTAGTAATCCCAAACAGCTTTACACAGCTACGATGTGGACTACGATGGGAGGTTCACGATAGTAGAACACAAAGGGGGACCACGATGGGAGGACAGGGCTCGTGACATACGGCTAAGGATAAATGGCTAGGGATATGGGGGTCAGGATAGGGACTGGGAGGTAGGATGAGGACGAGCGTGATAGGGATGGAAGCCGGGGGATAAGAAAGTGCCGGGATGGATAAGGGCGGCAGTGGGAGGCCACGGGAAGCCACAGGAGGCCACGCCGCCCGATCGATGCCAGATCCTGCAGCCCGCCTGATAGGGATAGGGACGGCAATGGGAGGCCACGGGAGGCAAAGGGGGGGTACGGGAGGCCAGGTCGCCAGATCGATTCCGAATCGGTTAGCCCACTTTTCGCTCCAAAAGATTATACGGAAGCCTTACAGGCTAGCTGCTTCGGGTAAACGAAGACGCGAGTGGCGCACCCGCTGGCGCCAACGAGGAGCCAGCACCACAGCAGGGCGGCGAGAACAGCACGACAGAAACCCTGCGCTCCACCGGTCTACCTCTGATCACTCGTACCGATGTGCAGCCATATACGGACAAATACATACCCAGGCCAAACAGAAAGAGAGATCTCGGGCCTCGTAGCCAGCACCTGTCCTCAGCAGGTCCTGCTGCGCGTAGAAGACCACCTTCTCCTGCACCTTGGCCCACCACCCTCCGCCCGATCTCTCTGCAGCCGGCCCCCGCGGGCGCGCGGGAGGCAAGCCTTGCGAGAAGGCAGAGGGCCAGGATCAACCAGCACCGCATCGGGCAGATGGACCGAATCGGAATGTAGGTCGGCTCGGGCCGCAACGGCACGGAGTCGGAGTCGGATCGGATCGGCCGCGCCAGGACGCACCACAGCGCCATGCAAGCGTCGGGCCGCAACGGATCGCTCGAAAGTCGGAAGCGAATCGAATCGAATCGGGCCGGCCGGAATCGGTATCGAATCGGATCGATCGGATCGGAATGGACCCTGGAATGGGGCTTCTCAGCAGGGACGTGCCACTTCTCGAGAACTCATGGAGAGGCGGGGTGCCGTTCCATGGTGCCGCTCGCCCCTCGTCCTGGCTGGCTTCGTCGGGTGCGCCCCCGAGGGGTCGGCGCGGCAGCCGGCGGACGGAGAAGAAACACGAAGGCGACTGCCCCTGCGAACTGCCAGAGGAGACTGACAGTGAGCCGACCATCGGCCAGAAGACTGCCGCCAGGCACCCAGGTTGCACAACGCGTGCGTTTCCCAAACCATGATGTTTTGCTGCAAGTCTGCCCCATCTCCCAATTCATGTCCCCTGCCGATGGCCATCTCCCCCATTATCCCCGCTGTCCAGGCCCCAGGCCGCAGCCCTCTACCAGGTTCCCATCTACATGTCTGCTTGCGATACGCAATGCTGCGTTGCTTGCTCTTCCTTTAACATGGGCAGCATGGCAACCTCGCGGAGACTGGAGGGATCGAGGCAACACCAAACGCACCGCGTGGAGGCAGCTGAGACACTGATGCGTCGGGGCGTCCAGGGCGTCGTCCGTCGTCCGCCAGTCGACCGTCGTCGTCGGCCGTCGCTGAGTTTAGCAGCTTCGCGGATGCGAGGCCATCCCTTCCCGGCCGCGGGCCAGGCGCTCGGGCGGGCCGGGCGGCGCACAGCCCCCGCGCCCGTGGCCGGTCGTGCGCGCCACAGGCCACAGGTCCGCCCGCGCGAAGCGCGCTCGGCGAGCTCCGCCCCGCCGGTTGCCGGGGGGGACAGGCGCCGAGTCTGGTGGCCCGCGGGCCCGCGCGCAGGGAAGGCGAATTCGCCCCCCGGCCTGTGCCAGGGGGAGGTCAGGATCAGCCAGCATCGCAACGGGAACTCGGATCGGATCGGAGCGCAAGTGGCATCGGGCCGCATCGGCACGGATCGGCCGCGCCAGGACGCACCATGGCGCCATGCAAGCGTCGGGCCACATCGGATATCGCTCGACAGGCCGATATCGAGTCGGATCGATCGGATCGAAATGGACCCTGGTCAAGGGAGCCGAAAGGGGGGGACCAGCTCAGGGGGGGAGGCCATGACCTGGAATCGGCGGCACGTTGCCGAGAGGCTGGAGAGGGGCCGCCGATGGCGAGGCCGCACGTTCCTGGGAGGGGTGGGGGGCGCCCAGGCCCCGACTGGCGAGGCGCGGGGGCGAGGCTGTGTCCATATCCAGTGCGTCTTGGAGTTTCGGGCTCCCTTCCCCAGAAACCAGAGGCGCAGTGGATATATGGGCAAACATTGGGCCCCTGGGAGCCTGATCTCCATGGCCTCCGCTCCTCGGCGTTGCAGCGCTTCCCACCCGGGGGATCCGGGGCCGACGTCTCCCTGGAAGGGAGTCGCTGGGCCTCGCTCGCTGGCGCGCGGAGCGCGCCGGGGGCGGTGCGGGAGGCGCCATCAGAAGGGTTCAGCGCCGATCCGATGGATCCGAGCGGACCGCCGAAACTTAACACTTACATTGTGCCTGTTCTTCCTCCGTGCCCCCGCCCCCCCCCGGACCAGTTCCCCCCCGCTGCTGCCCCTGAGCAGTGGCCAAACATCGTCTCCTTGACCACACGTGGTGCGATTTGACCAGAATCTCGCGGCGGATCCAGCCGTCGCCACGAGAGCGTCTCAGGACGATCAACAAAGGACCCCCAAAACGAACCTCGAAGCTCCAACCTCGATCCCCTGGGCCAGTCCCCCCCTGCCTCGGCATGAAGGCAAACAAACGGGTCCTGATGGAAGCGGGTCATGGATCACGGGGCTGCCCGTCCGGGACCACTCCTCGTCCTGAGCCGTTCTGCTGACGGTCCGCCGACCCTGGGAGGGCCCCCCGCAGCTCAGAGCCTCCGTGGGCCCGCCTCCCTCACCGACCAGCAGCCGCGGGGGGAGCGGCTCCTGACCAGCCCCCTGAGAAGCCCATCGTATCGACGCTCCGGGGTGTCGCAGTCGATGGGATCCCCAGGGGGGAAGGACCACACCTCCCCCTAGTGAGGCGGCGTCCACACGGGGGTGACGCGAGGTGGGCGGCCTTCTGAGAAGGCACGGGGGGCGTTTTAGAAGGCAGGGGCCGTCCTAGAAGGGCCCAGGGGCTTCTATGAGAAAGCCGCCTTCTGAGATCGATGTCCCTCAAAACGTGTGCTGACGCAGGCGTGCGCTCGTTCACCGACGCCCTTCGATGCAACGCGGGCGGCGCAACTTATGATGGCCAACACGGGCTGCGTGCTATCGAAGGAGCTGCACGGGGCCATCGCGCATTGGGCTCACACACGTCCAGAGGATTGTCGATTAGAAGCCGCCAGGTTCCTCCAAGAAGCCCCCCTCCGTTCTGCGGCAACTCGTGTGAGCGTACCATGCCATCTCGTTGGCTCTCGCGGATCGACTCGAAAATCGGCGCTGTATCGAGACTAGATCGAGGCTAGTCGACGCTAGATCGGCGTTTTCTCATCGAACACCAAACGCTAGCGCAAGCTAATGCTATCTAAAGGCGGAATTGCGAGAATGTACGAAACTCCAATGATATGCTACAGAGCCCCCCTTCTCATAAGTGTGAAAATCAACAACATACTGATACCGCCACTCCCCGGACCTCTCGTGGGGTGCGTTCTGACGAGGATTTCGAGGCGAATCCAGCAGTGGCGACGATGGCCGCCCAGGAGGCCCAAAAAGAGGAAAACGAGGGAGGGGGAGAGGTATGATCCGAGCCCGCTGGAAAAAGGAAAACGAGGTAGTTATTTGATCAGGGACCGACCACATCTTCGAAAAACAAAACAACTTTCGTGGAACAAAGACCCGATGCACAGAAACAAGACAGTTTCAGCCAGACAAGTTCTTGGAACATGTCGTGCAAACCACAAGCGATTCTTATACTATTCTCTTTGGTGGGCCTTTTACGCAAGCCTGGACGATTCGCCACTGCTTGAGGCATGGGTAGCATGGGCACCCGTCGATCGGAAGAAGTGGGTAGAAGCATGAAATAGGAAGGCGCTGGAAGCAGACTGGGCTTCCGCCCGCCCCCTGAAGAGGAGGGAAGCGGAAACGGCACTCGGCGATCGAGGTAGGAAGGCGCCTGCAGCAGACTGGGACCCGGGAATCCAGGAGCACCTGCCCTCATCGACCGACGGGTGTCCCCTTCCTCCTCCGAGGAAGGGCCGCCCCCGTGGGGGGCGCCCCCGTGGGGCGCCCCCGTGGAGGCGCCCTCGCGCCCCCCCGGGGGTGGCCGGGCTGCCTCGGGGCCCCGACCTGCGGCACGGCGGAGACGCCGCTGGCCCCCCCCAGGAGGTGGACCCAGGAGGAGACGTCGGGGACGCTCAGGAGGTGACCTCTGGGCAGAAGGGTGACCTCTGGGGTGCGCGGCCTCTGGGGCGGCCGCGGGGGGGCCAACACGCAGGCCCGCAAGGCGCTGCAATCCCATCGCGTTCGGCGGTCGGGGGGGCCCAGTGGGCCCCCACCGACGGTCAATCCGACGAAGGGTCACTCTGACGCGCTCGCCCGGGTCAGCACAAACTGGGGTCGGCCAGGGCCCATGAGCATCGTTTCACCCTAAGAAGCAACAACTTGGAGGTCTTCGTCGGAAGGATTCAAAAGAACTAAACCTGGGGGCTGCTGCGCCGGATTAGGCCGTGGATTAAGGGGGATTCAGCGGGATGAAGCTTTCGGACCAGGGCATAATCAGAGTTTTACCTCCCAGGAGCTGACCAAAACCTGGGTTAGCCAGGGCCCTTGCGCATCGTTTAACCCAGACCTACGACGAAGCCAGGACGAGGATAAAATCGTCTGAGCTCTGGCGGCTCTGGACGATGTCTCGGGCGCCGCGGACTTCTCAGAGCCTTCCGGAACGCTCTGAGAGCGCTCCGGAACGCTCTAGAACGGTCTTATCCTCGTCCTATAGCCCCGTCTGAATTTCACCCAGACCCCCTCGGGCAATACAAAAATCACGACGGGAGATTTCTGGCAATGTTAGGCCCTCGCCGCTTCTAAGGACCATCCGAAAACAGCTCAGGACGAAAGACCAGCCCCAGGGGAAGTTGGGTCGAGGCACCCAGGGGTCGGGGGCCCACGTCACGAGCAAAGACATGACGTCGGGGGCCTGGGAACCGATGCCCATCCCCACTGGCATGGCCGGCCCCCCTGGCGAAAGATTTACCCCCGCAAAACGGGGGTACAGGCTGCTCCATCGGGCTTTCGCCCTCACATGGCTCCCCAGACATGCGACGTCTCGGTTGTCTTACGCGGGGCCACCAGAACTCCGGATCCTTCCTCCGGGACCGGCGTTTGGTCCTGAGTCTTCTTGTCGGCGGCCCCCCGGACCAGTTTCAGGGGCCCCAGAGGCCGGACACTGCCAAAAACCTCCTGGCCTGGTTTTTCACGACCTACATTCATAGATTGGGCCCGCACCTTATAAGAAGCAGGGATGCTGCTGAAAAACCTCCCCCCCTCCGCAGACCCCCGACGTCCCGATTTTTTGGTAACATCGACCCCAAGAGATCTACTCGTCCCATTCACAGGGACCAGTTTCTCATCCTGCACGGTTTTTTGACTATCACTTGGCCCGGCAAGGGCCCCGAGAGGACGGAAAACGTCTGGGGAAAGCCTGTCGGGGGCGCGCAAACATGGATTAACAATCCATGGTTTTGGCGCGGAGTCGCCAAATCCATGGATCGGGGGAAGTGCCCTCCCCAAAATGTTGCCGGTGCCGCCTCGCTCGGCGGCGGAAATCCGCGATTCCCCATGGAAACGGGACCCGTCGCTGATCCACGCCCCCTTGATCCATGTTTGCGATCGCCTGAGTCTGGGCCCCAGACCCATGGTCGGCCAGAGAGGATCGGCGGACCCCCGTTCGCGCTGACCCCCGGCCCTGAAGGCGCCCCGGCTCCCCTCGCCGGCGCGGGGCCCGCTTTGGGAGGCCGCGCCTTCGGCCGGCGGGGTCGGCGCGCACGTGGGGCGGAGACCGGACGGGGCGGCGCTGTGGCGGGACGGGGGCCCAGACCCCCGCGAGTCATGAAACAACCACGACGGGAGGTGTGTCCCTGTGGCGGGACTTTGGGGGCCCTTCCCGGGCCTCGGGACCGCCAAAAAACAACTCACGACGAAAAATCGGCCCCGGGGGAAGGGTTGAGACCTCTGGGGGTCGACGTGATGAACATATCATGACGTCGGGGGTCTGGGAGCTCAGACGTGCTCGCGTGAGGACAAAATCAGGCCAGGAGGTTTTGGGCAGTCTTCGGCCTCTGTGGGGGCCATTCTACCCGGCCCCAGGACCGCCAAACAACTACTCAGCGGGAAACACCGGTCCCAGGGAGAGAGTCGGGATCCAATGTCAGCTTGTGATGAACAAATCCGTGGGAGGCGCGTGTTAAAAAATAGTTCACCTGCTCGGGCGAATCGCGGGGTGGCGCCCGCCAAATTGAAATCAACGGGGCAGCGCCGGTGATTAGCGCCAACGCTCGGCCGCCAACGAGGGGCAGGGGCGGGGGGGGGGTTGGAGGCAGAGGCGAGCCAGGGAGCACCTCTTTCTGTCGAACCGATGCGGGCCTGCGGGCTCCTCCTCCTCCTCCTCCTCCTCCTCCTCCTCCTCCTCCTCCTCCTCTCCTCCTCTCCTCCTCCCCCTCCCCCTCCTCCTACTCCTCCTCCTCCTCCTCCTCCCCCTGCTCCTCCTCCTGCTCCTCCCTCTCCTCCTCCTCTTCCTCGTCCTCCTCCTTCTCCTCCCTCTCCCTCTCCCCCTTCTCTCTCCTCCTTCCCCCTGGCGCGCGTGATTTAAACAAAAAGTATAGCGCCCCGCGGGTTTATTCATCAGCCCCAGGGGGTGGGGACCTTTTGTTAATCACACGCTGACGCTGCAGGAACCCCGTACTAAAAATTTGTACATCGCACGTCTGTGAGAAGAGGGAGGGCGAGCGAGAGAGAGAGGGAGGCAAGAAAAATCCCGGAGACCTCGCGCGGCAGCGTGAGACCCAACCTACGTCGGATCCATGTCGGATCCACGTCGGATTTACGTCGGGTCACGTCGGATTTCCGCCGGATTCACGTCGGGCTGATGTCGGAACGTCGCGCCGCGAAAGGTCGACCCAAATCTCACGGGGGGATGCAACTACTGCAGGATTGTTCCTATTGAGAGAGGGAGGTAGAAACAATGAAATATCAAACTACCACCAGCGCGAAGCGCCAGGGAGGGTCCACCTGGTGGTGTGGTCCCCCCTCCAAGCTCGAGACACCCCAGGTGCCCAGCGCGGGAAGACACCATTGTGGCCTCCCCTCGTCGGTGGAACACCTGGTGGTGGCGGCGGTGGTGGCGCCTCTCCCTCCTCCTCCGAGGAGGCAGGAGGCGGAGGAGGACCCGGACCCCCCCGCGTCGCTGTGAAAAGTCGCGGCAAACTCTCCGTGTTGTTCTCCTTCTTTGTGTATCTATATGTGTATACTTGGTTAAGAGTCAGAACGATCGCCCCCGGTGGCCCTCGACGGGCCCAAGGGCCATCAGGAAAACAACAAAAACTATGTCGGACGTAGGGGGAGGAGAAGGAGGAGGAGAAGAAGGACGAGGAACAAGAGGATAGGATGGGATAGCATGGGATAGGATAGGATACGAGCGGCCTCAAAGGAGGCCGCGCCGCCGTCCAGTGGCCCCCCCGAGGAGGAGGAGGAGGAGGAGGAGGAGGAGGAGGAGGAGGAGGAGGAAACGGAGGAGGAAGAGGAGGAGGGGGAGAAGGAGATAGAAAGAGACTCTTATCAACTACCTGTGGGGTCGATGTCCAGGCACCCCAGGGGGCAATGGATGCATCTGCATCTACCATGATGTGAATACACGTTTGGGCCCCAGGAGGTCTGTACGTATCCATGTCCGCCACCTCCTCAGGAAGATCGGCTCCCCAACCAAAATAATTGTAGAACCCCCGCCTCGGATCCGGGCGTCTCGCAAAGAAACCGCGACGGCTGGTTTTTCATCATCTTCGGCGTCTGGGTTGTGGCTCCCGGCCTACCAAATGGCTCAGGGTGAAGAAAGCTGGGCCTGGGAAGGGGGGTCGAGATCCTCGGGGACCGTCGTCACTGTCACGATATCCGCAGCGTCGGCTAGGACGGGGCGAGGAAGAGAGGGAGAGAGATGGAGAGAACGAGAGAGAAAGAGAGAGAAAGAGAGAGAGAGAGAGAGTGAGAGAGAGACTGAGAGAGAGAGGGAGAGAGGAAATTCAAAACATCCAATTGCGTAAAAGTTGCCAGCTAGAAGTCATTAGACCGTCTAGGCCGACACAACTGACCACGTTGCGAGGCGGGGATTATCCATAACCACCGCCCGTGGGTGCACATTCGGGGACCTCGGCAGGCGGTGGATGTGGAATATGGATGGAAGCGCTGAATACCCATTGCCACAGCCTGCCAAGGTCCCTGAAGATCGACCCTCGAGGCGGTTGCCGACTTGGAAGCGGTCGGGGGGGGTCCGCTGGATGGGCTCTGAGAAAACTTGCCAAGACGAGGGGGACGAGGGCATATCCGCTGAAAATCGGTCCCCAGACCCTCCTCAAGGGGTCAAAACTGGACAATTGTTCGAGCTGCCTCAAGCCTCGGCGACCGGGGGGGCCGTTTTCCCCTCCCCTCTGCTGGCCGGAACCGGTGCTGGGCCACCTCAGCCCCTCAGACGGCGGCTCCAACGTGAGACTGTCTACGGTCAGGAACCTTTGCTTAGCGTGTCGCCGCGGCGGCCTCGGCGACACGCTAGCCCTGCGAGAGCATAGTGTGCCGCTCCGCTCCGCGGAACGGGGGGCTGGGAAAGGCTCTGGATATTGAGCTTGAGGACCGCGACGTGGATAGGGTGTTGCGCCCAAGCATGGACCAGAGCTGGCACCGCCACATGCTAAGCAAACATTCCCGACCGTGGGCTGGCGCAGCTGGCCACTTGGGTTCCGGCGCGGTCAGCGAACTGCCACCTCCTCGGCCGCGAGCTCTCCCTCCTCGGCGTTGTCGCCCGCCGGGCCAAGGCCCGTGTCCGCGGCGTCCAGCAGCGAGTCGTCGAGCTCGGCGATGTCCCGAGTGCCCTCCTCGGCGATCCTGGAGGAAGAAATGGCACACACGTGCGGCTGTTGCGCATTGTATACGGAACCCTTGGAGGAGGAATCTCAGGTCTAAAAGCAGGTGGAACACCAATTGAGGCTTGGCCATGGGTATCGTCGCCACCGTCATTAGATAAGCAATCCTCCAGGGTCTGAAGCTTCCAGAGCATATGTTTTATGAAACGCCCACACCGTAAGCTTTCGGAGGTCCCAGCAGATTTCTCGGATATGTACTGGAGTCCTCTGGCGAGCCCCACGCCAACCCAAGAAATCCGAACGGACCTCCAAAAGTTTGTTGTGATGTAGTTTTTCTCCTAGCGGTGCTTGCACTCAGGGGATGTCAGCTCTCTCCTGAGGAACTGGGCTTGGTTGTAGGGTCCGCCGCCTTGTGGTGGCCCCCATCGCCGCCAGTCGCCGCCCCTCGTCTGGGTCTGATTGTCGGTTCCGCCGCTTTGTGGTGGCCCCGTCGCCGCCCGTCGCCGCCGCACTTTGGCTGCAAATTGGATTGCGCGAGCCTCGTAAATTCGCCTCTTCCGATGCATCAGCTCTGCCACCGCCCTCCCCCCTGGTTCATCGGCACCCCCTGGGACGCTGTAAATTACATAGGATCCTACCTACCCCATCGCTCATTTTGCATATGAATTCAAACAATCCCAGTAAGGATCCCCTTGTATCACCCCCCCACTTCACAAAGGACCAGCCCATGCAAAAACCGGACGATGTTCACACGCGTGCGCCGTCGCGCGCGAATGTCGGAACCCGTCCAACACCTTATCTTTCGCAAGCAGTTCAATATTGAGCTCATAATTTCCCCAAGAGGGAAAAACTGCGCGCGCGCTTTTGCGAATTCAGGCGAAAACAATGCGTGTCTCAACGCTTTCGTCAAACGGAACCAAACGGACCTCTCGCGCGCGCGTGTCATGATCATTCGGATCATTCGAACGCCCTTGCGCGATTGCTGGAGGGGGGCGCGATCCTGGTCAAACATGACCATGCGGGCCACTCGCGTGCACCGGCCGCGCGCGGCGCATGCCCGAATTTGTCTAAAACCTGCATCCACGACGCATAGACATCACCGCCGTCGTTGGCGTGACCAGCATCGGCGCCGTCCGTGGCCCTGCCGTCGTCATCGTCACCATCGTCCCCAACATCCTTACTATCATCATCGTTTCAGCCGTTGTCGACGTCACCGGCGCCCGCCCGAATCAACGACCAGCACTGAAACGTCCGCGCGCCAGCGCGGCCTGTGCGACGCGCTGGGACGTCCCCATCGGTAAGCGCCACCGCGGCTGCGTCGGCTGTGCCTAACTAGATGGGCGCTTGGCGCGCGAGCTTGCGCTGCCGCAAGGATACCCCCAACAGCGCCAAGCAATCACCGCAATCGCCGCCGCAGAGGTCTTGCAAACCACGTTGCGGGCGGGGGGGTGTGATGATTGCGCGAACAGTGGAGTTGACAAACACAAGTTCTTCAAACTTGATTGTACCACGTAGATTGCACCACATGGAATTCACCACGACAAGCTCTTTACCAATCCCCCGAATCAGGTTCCCCCCCCTGGACACCTGCGAACTACATACGGCTGTGCCTCATAGTTGCGTTTGCATGTGAATTCATGCCGCCCCAGAGGGGGTGCCTAATGCCAACCCCTTCACCCTTCTCAAATAACACCATGCGCGCATACTCGTGCATCAAACAATATATTTCCAAACTAAACATCGGAAACACCTGACCACGCCCACTCGCGCGCGCCGTCGCGCGGGCATGTCAGAATGAGTCAGAACCCCTCCCAAAACAAAGGCTTCGTAGGAATATTAAGACCAAGTTTCCTGAATACACATGATGCACATACTTGGATCCTCAACAATCAATCATCTGTGCGCGCGTTCCTGCGGATTCGCACGGGCAAAAAACACAAGGTGTGTTAAATGTGCTCGTAAAGTGAAACCGCGCGGGGCTTTCGAGCGCGTCGGCCGCGCCCGCATGCCGAAACCCACCCCGAACCCTCACCAACGGCACATGGACATCATCGTCGTCGACGGCGTGACCAGCATCGGCACCGTGATTGACCTTGCCGTTGTCATTGTCATCATCGCCACCGTCATTGCTACTATCATCATCGTTCCCGCCGTTGCCGACTTCACCATGATACTGTGCCCATTTCAGTTACCGACCCGCGCAGAAGTGCCTGCAGGCCAACGCAGCCCCTGAGACGCGCTGGGAAGTCCCCATCGGTCAACGCCACCGCGGCCGCGTCGGCTGTCCCACCGATTAAAGCCATTGTGGCCACGTCGACTGCGCCCTTCTGGCTGGCCGCTCTGCGCGCGAGCTTGCGCGCGCCAGCGCAGCCGCGCAGATGCGGCAGCCATGACCAAGAAGTCATCTCTATCGCCGCCGCAAGGGTCGATATCGTTCTCGTCATCGTCATCGTTGCCTGATGCTGTTTTGCCAATCAGATTGCGGGTGGGCGGGTGGGATGGTTGCACGAGCGTGGAAAGGGGTCACGCGCGGCGCAGGGAAGAGGGAAGTCAATAGCACCGCATAAATAAAACTAACCCACATAGGCCGCACCACGTATGTATGTATATATATATATACATTGACATAAAATTTGACGCATAGACCGCAACGCATATTTTGCACCACATAGGTTCCGCAACGTAGCTGCCGCCACACATATCGCAATAGAGTTTACACAACATATGATGCACCACCCAGATTCTTGTTACTCAAAAGCGAATCGGCTCTACCGCACCCCCACCCACCCCCGGTTGTATCAGCTCCTCATGGGATGGTGCGATTTGCAACTGCGTCTGCCCTATCGTGAACTTGTTGCATACGAGTTCGCACCATCCCAGGAAGCACCCGGAGCAGCCCCCCTCACCACTGTCCGATGCTCATATATGCGCGCGCGATCGTTTATCAAAACGAATGTTAGATGCGCGAATCTGCCAGCGCTCAGTTCTTGATAAATTGAAGACTGCCCACACATTTCTACCTGCGTTGGTCGAACATCGGGGATTTGAAATGTCAATACTGGACTCCCTGGATTCCAGATTTACCATATTAACAAATTGATCCAGATCAAAAACAAGTACGCGCAACAAGAAGCAATAGCTCTCAGGTTTCAATAATTCAATTATCAATCCATGACCTCCAAATTGAGCCCATGAGAATCCCGGGCCTTCCGCTGTTGAATACAATTGTTTAGACATTTCTAGTTTCAATCCCTGGCCTCTGGATGGGAAAAATAACCAACAATCTAAGATGTTCACATAATCCATTCTCGATGGGAGATGTGCCAAGTTTCACGGGTTTTGCTGGGTTGCACTGTGGAGCTCAGGCGGGCAAGAGTGCGGCGAGCCACGTTGCGAATCAAAATCTATACAGATAACATCGATGTTTGAAACCGTGTGTACGAAACTGCACGTGGAGAGGCCCGACCATCTTCTGTACCGAACACGACGTCGAGGGCTTGGAGGACGTGGTTCTGCCGAAAGCTTTGTCCATGATCTTCGGGCCCCCAGGGGCTTCGAGACCGGACCGACCTCAGGGGCCCGTGGCGCCTGTAGGGCCAGTAGAGCCTGAGGTGCCTCTGGGGCCCAGGACGCAGCCAAAAACCCTCAGGATAACCAAAATGCTCACAAGAACCTCCCGGGATGCCGCACTTTCCTGTCTCGCCCGCGTGGCCCGCCCTGCCCGACCAGACATAACAGGGCCCCGCGCTCTCCATCATCCTGCCTGCCTGATCGGCTGGACACCTTCGCCCCGCCCACCCTGGCATCCCCCGCCCTGTCCGCCGGCCCTGCTAGCGGGCCTCGCGTCGCCCGACCATGCTCGAGACAGAGAGTCCTGCACTTCAATGGCCCGCCCGCTGGGCGCGCCCTGCCTCGTTCGCCTCGATCCCCGTCCATGCACGAGAGGGGTCTTCACTTTCATGCCCCTCCCTCCTCCCCGTCCCACCCTACCCCGCGGGGCGCCCTCCGCCCGACCAAGGGTGGTAGGAAGTCCCGCGCCTCATCCGCCCGACTAGCCTCGTTCGTTCGCCCCGATCCCCCCGACCACAATCGAGGGGCCCTGCGCTTTCGTGTCCCGCCCGCCCCGACCGCCGCGCGCAGCAGTCCCGCCCGCCCGACCCGCTCTGATCCGTTGGCCCCGATTCGCGCGGACACGCGCGATAGAGAGCCCCATGCTGCATTGTTCCCGCCCGCCTGACACTCCCGCCTCGTTGGCCCGCTCCGCTCGACCATACCCCGGAGGGCCCTGCACTTCATGTCCCGCCCGTCGGGCCAGCCGCGCCCGCGGGCCCCGCGTCGCCCGACCGCGCTCGAGAGGCAGCCCTACGCTGTAATGTCCTGACCGCCCGAACCCCCCGCTCGCTGGGACCGCTCCGCCCGGCCCCGCGCGCTAGAGAGCTGCGCGCCTGTAACTCCCCCGCCTGCCCCGCCCGCTCTGATCCGTTGGCCCCGCTTCGCTCGGCAGCGCGCGATAGAAAAACCATAATTAAACTTCCCGCCCGCCCGACCCGCCCTGCCCCGCTGGCCTCGCTTCGCCCGACCACAAGAGGAAGAAAGCCCGACGCTTTGAAGTTCCACATGCCCGACCCTCCGCGCTGGCGCCCTCCGCGTCGCCTGACCACACTCGAGAGGGCCCTGCCCTTCAATGTCTCGCACGCCTGATGATTTTATTTCGTTGGGCCCCGCCCCACCCAGCCAACGAGAAAGAGGGCCCCGCACTGAAATGCCCCGCCCGCCCGGCCCCGTTGGCCCTGCTTGGAAAAAGCATTGCCGCTGAATGCCCCGCCCGCCCAACTCGCACTGCTTCGCTCGCCCTGCGTCGCCCCGCCGCAGTCAGGACAGACCCGACATGGACGAAGGATTGCAACAAAAATAAAAAAAACACCCAGGATTGCAAAAAAAACGTTTGAACGAAGGATTGCAAAAAACCCTTCGAACGAAGGGTTTTTTGCAATCCTTCGAACGAAAAGATTTTTTTGCAATCCTTCGGACAGACCCGACATACCGTTCGAATGTTGCACCCGTCTGGCCCGCGCGCGCCCGCAGGCCCTGCATCGCCCTGCCGCGCGCACCAGTCACCACGCACTTTTGAGGCCCTCGCCCGCCCGACTTTGCTTCGCGCCGCTGACCCTGCCCCGACATGGCGCACTTGAGTGTCGCGCGCCTGCGCCGACCTGCCCCACAGTGAACTATCGGGCACAAGCGCGACGGATTGAAAATCGACACGTTGCATACCTCATTGCATACCCAGCTGGATGGAAGCCTTCAAACTAAGAAAAAAACTGATATGTTACAATATGTCCATGTCCCAATCCGCGACCCCAAGATGGAGCATCTTGAATGTTTCAGTGGTCACATCCGTACCCCAGGATTGAGATTCCCAAGTGAAGCTGTTCAATGTGCCTGTTTCCATTTCAGTCCGACGAGCTCGTTTTACCTGTTTCCCCGTCGTTCAACTCTGAATTCCGCATCGAGTCAGCACACCAGGCAACTAACAAAGAACCTGATCATCCTTTTGCCGAAAATTGGACAGTCCATACGCGCGCGCCATCGCGCGCGCATGTCGGAATTCTTCAAACGTCGTGGTTTTCGCTACGATTCCAAGATCGAGGTTCTCGAGCAACAATGGAAAAAAACAAAAAACATCGAATGGCTTCCCAACGTGATTGCACAGATCTGCGCGCGCGCTCTTGCGAATTCTTTGGGCGACCGACAGATCCCCAAAAATTCCAAACAGTGAGACCACGCGGGCCTCTCGCGCGCGCTGCAATCATTCGAACGCCTTTGCGCACTTGCTAGGGGGGCGGGGGGGGACGATCCCTGACAAATGAAACCATGCGGGCCACGCACGCGCGTGCGTCGGCCGCGCGCGCAAGCCGAAACCCTGCTAAAACCTTCACAAACGACGCATGGACATCATCGCCAGCGTTGCCTGCATCAGCGCCGTCATTGGCCTTGTCGTCCCATCGCCACCACCATCGCTACCATCATCATCGGTGCCGCCTCCGTCGACGTTATCACGATACCGCGCCCGCCCGTGCCACCGACCCGCATTGAAGTGCACGCGCGCCAGCGCGGCCTTTGACACGCGCTGGGCAGTTCCCATCGGTCAGCGCCATCGCGGCCGCATCGGCTGAGCCAAACCAGCTGGCCGCTCTGCTCGCGAGCCCGCGCCAGCACGGCCGCAGAGGTGCGCCACCCATGGCCAAGCAGTCATCGCAATCGCCGCAGCATTTGGCTTTGCAAACGAGTATTCGGTCGGGAGGATGGGGTGGACTGCACAAATCGCGGAGTTGACAACGTCAAGTTCTGCAAGGTGGACTGCACCACATAGCTTGCTTAACTTCAAATGCGCCACATATATTATATTAGATAGTGTGCTAGAACACCCTGTTTGGGGTCCACGCCGGCTATCATTTCTTGTTCGATATCCTCTTCAGCGCCTCCCTGACGGAGTCGTCGACGAACTCATCGTCCCCGCCGCGGCCTTGGCTACTTTCTGGGACAGTGTGAAGTACCACTTTGCCCCTCTTGTCGGTAGTTGTGGTGCTGGAGGTAAGCTCTGACGAAGTTGTCGTTGTCGCCGTGCTGGTCGAGGTGGTGGTCAAAGTCGTCGTGGTGCTGGTCGTCGTCTCGGGGCCGACCCGGAGCACAGTGCTCAGGGCGTCGTGGTCGCTTCCGCCGTTTCCCAAGTTCGTCGCGTTGGACACGACCACGCCGTCCACATTCGTGAGGACGAAGTCCGTGCCGCCCGCGACTATCCCCTGGTTTGCGATCGCGAGATGGACCCTCAAGTTCCCGACGGCAGGAGGAGAAACAAGCAGCACAAGCATGAACCGTCGGAGGTCCGCGCGGACTTCTCGGATCGGCGCGGGGCCCCCCTCCAGGAGGCGCCGCCGGAAACGCCTCCAGGGAGGGCCAGCGCAGATCCAAGAAATCCGCGCGGACCTCCGAATACTCATGTTCGTGTTTTTTTTCGCCTTCGAGATGGTGCTGCTCTCCTCTCGGGTACACGAAAGGGTGACCCTCGGCAGAAGAGACCGTTGGTGTGCGGGGCATTCGATGCGGAAGAAGCGGCGGCATGTGTACTTGGGTTTGCCGCCCCTTGATGATGATGATGATGTTGCTGCTGATGATGATGGTGATGCTAATGCTGATGTTGGAGATGGTGATGATGATGATTGTGATGATGATGATGACGACGATGATGATGATAATATGTGCTTGCCGCCCCCCGAAGCCGCGCTCCCAAGGTCGCTTCGGCGAAAGGTCACTCGTCCCAGACATCCGAACCTTTCCCCAGGTCGGCTCTTCATCCCGAGCCGCTGTTTGACGGTCCATGGGCGCGGCGAGGGTACCCTGAGTCCGAAACCATCTAATTACACGTTTGTGTACATCAATATATATATATATATATATATATATATATATATGGTCGCCTACATGTATATAAGTGCATGTATGTAAGTATGGATGTATACATGCAGGTATGTTTGTACGGATGGATGGATGGATGGATGGATGGATGGATGGATGGATGCATGCATGCATGCATGCATGCATGCATGTGTATATACAAACATATATATACGTATGTAAACATGATCATCATCATAAAATACGAATAGGGGGCCACACGCGAACCCTACCCCTACCCCCTACGATTTCAGAGGGGGAGGGTGGAGTTCACTTCGTCTGGGAGCTCCCGAGCGACGTGAACCCCACCCTCCCCCTCAGACATCGTGGGGGGTAGGGGTAGGGTTCGCGTCAAGCTAGCCAGCTCGAGCGAGTCAAGCATGGCATGCCCATTCCCACCCGCCCTCCCACAACATAAGAAACAGTGATGGCACAACTGGGGGCTGCGCGGGCATTTCAGTGCGAGTGGAGGATACCCCAGGACACCGCATTGACGTCCGCGCGGGATGTGCGCCGCGTCCCATTCCCGCCACGCATTTCGCATCGTCGACGACAAGACTGGCCATGTTGAAAGGAACAACGGACACGTTCCGCCCTCCCACAACATAAGAAACAATGCTGGCGCAACTGGGTGCTGGCGCGTAGTGGTAGTAGTAGTAGTAGTAGTAGTAGTAGTAGTAGTAGTAGTAGTAGTAGTAGTAGTAGTAGTAGTAGTAGTAGTAGTAGTAGTAGTAGTAGTAGTAGTAGTAGTAGTAGTAGTAGTAGTAGTAGTAGTAGTAGTAGTAGTAGTAGTAGTAGTAGTAGTAGTAGTAGTAGTAGTAGTAGTAGTAGTAGTAGTAGTAGTAGTAGTAGTAGTAGTAGTAGTAGTAGTAGTAGTAGTAGTAGTAGTAGTAGTAGTAGTAGTAGTAGTAGTAGTAGTAGTAGTAGTAGTAGTAGTAGTAGTAGTAGTAGTAGTAGTAGTAGTAGTAGTAGTAGTAGTAGTAGTAGTAGCCCTGAGTCGCCGAAAGATCGTTCCAAGACGCCCAAGATGGCCTCCAGACGGCCGTAGCGCCAAGAAACCGCGGGGAGCCTCAGGAGGCCCTCCAAGAGCCTGAACAAGCAAAAACCTCCCAGGCATTCGTCACCCCAGGGCCTCCTGGAACGCCCCGGCGCCCAATGAATTGGCGAGCAAAAAACGTGCGCCGAGCCAAAGCGGGAGCGCAACTTTGAGAAAATTTCGCTCGGCGCCCAAGCGAGCAGGTCATTTCATTCACTTCGGGCGGGGGGGGAGGGGGGTGTGCCGCGCACAATTCTTGCCATGCACTTTTGCGGGTTGGACGACAAGAACAGCTATGTGGGCAGGGAAAATCAGCATGGCATTGTTTCTGACAAGTAAGGTGGCCCCTCCCGCCTTGGGGTTGCCCCAGAAGTCCGCGCGCGATGTGCGCCGCGCCCCATTCCTGCCACGCATTTCGCATCGTCGACGACAAGACAGGCCATGATGAAAGGAAAAACTGCAACTCTGTATTGTTTATAACAGTCAGGATGGGAAGGCCCGCGGCCAGCATGGACGTCCGCGCGCAATGCGCGCCGCGTCCCACTGCTGCCACATATTTCGCACCGTCGGCATCAAGGCAGGCCATGCTGAGAGGAAAAAACGGAAACTTTGTAATGATTTTTTTTTAAGTCAGGATGGGCGGGCCCGGATTGACGGCCGCGCGCGATGTGCGCCGCGTCCCATTCCTGCCACGCTTTTCGCATCGTCGACGACAAAAAAACGATGTTGAGAAGAAAAACGGCCACTTTGTATTGATTTTCTACAATCCGGATTGGAGGTCCCGGATCGGGTTGCTATCGGCCGGAATACGAGGTAGGTGGGGGTATATAATAATAAAGAACAAGGATATGGCCCCCGAGAGAATACATCGATGTAGTTTATATATATATATATATATATATAAAAAAAATAATAAAAAAAAAAAAAAAAAAAAAAAAAAAAAAAAAAAAAAAAAAAAAAAAAAAAAAAAAAAAAAAAAAAAAAAAAAAAAAAAAAACTGACACACTTCGGGGTGCGTCTGGGAGGCCTGAATCTGGAGCGCCCCAGGAGGGCCCAAGGCAGCCCCAGATGGCCCCAAGACGGCCCCGGAAGCCCCAAGGAGGCCGCAGGAGGCCCCAACGAGCGCCCCCAGACGGCCACGATGGGCCCAAGATGGCCAGGTTGGCCCAAGATGGCCACTCGACGGCCCAACGGGCTCCAGAGATAGACAAAAGGAGATTGAAGACGACTCCCAAGAGGCCCCCAGGAGGCACAAATTTGGAATGTTCCTTGGGTTTCGTTGCAATGTTCGCGTACTCGGCTTCTCGGTTTCCAGAGCGCCCGAGACGGCCGAACAGGCCCCCGAGATCGCTCCAAGATGGCTCCATTGGCGCCCAAGAGGGTCCCGAGACGAGCCCAGGACGGCCCAGGAGGGGCCCAAGACGGCCCCAAGACGCTCCAAGAGGGCTCCCGGAGGGGCTCCAGACGGCACACGAGGGCCCCAAGGCAGCCCAACTGGGCCCCCAGACCGCCGCAGAAAATCCACAAGATGCCCCCAAGGTTGCCCTGAGGGACCAAGACTGCCCCAGAAGGCTTTAAGACGGACCAGGTGGCCCCCTAAAACGGCTCGTATATGTATACGTGTATATGCATATGTATAGTGATGCGGATATGTATTTGGACATGTATGTATAGGTATATATGATTGTTTGTTTGTACGTTTCTATGCACTTATGCAGGTATATATAGATAGATGTATGGTTGTATACGTAATGTCTATGTGCATGTAAATGTGTGTATATGTCTACGTATATGCAGATGCCTATGTTTAGGTATATGAATATGTGTATGTTTAGGTTTGAGTATACACTTATGATTACACATATATGTATATGTATGTATGTGTATATATATATATATGAAATCGTATATGTGCACGTGGATGTACATGTAGATGTATACGTATGTGTATATGTGTATGTCTATGTGTATGGCCCCCGCGGCGGCGCGAGAGGGTTCCGAGTCACCAAGAGGTCGGCCCGAGATGCCCAAGATGGCCTCAGGACGGCCCAAGAAGCATCCAAGATGCCCCAGGATGCCTCCAAGAGGCCTCCCAAGAGGCCTTTCAAGAGGGCTCCCTATGTTTGTTTGACGGATTTAGGCGTTCTCGCCTTTTCTGGTCCCCAGGCTACCAGACGGCCCTAGAGGCCCCCAAGACCGCCCCAAAAAGGCCACCTCCAGGAAGGCACCCAAACGGCCCACGAGGGGCCCAAGACGGCCCAAGATGCGCCCCAAAACGGCCCAAGAGGGCCCCAAAAGGAGCACAAAAGAGGGAACATGAAGAACATCCGAGCCTGGCCCGCAGGAGGCCCCAAGAGGCGGCCAGGAGGCCCCACGAGCTCCCCAAGAGGCCTCCAAGAGGCCTCAAGAGGCATCCAGGAAACCAAAAAAAGGCAGCAAACAAGCTCCCAAGAGGCGCCCAAACTTGGAGGCGCCCAAACTTCGTCCCAGAGGCCCCTGCGAGGCCCCCCACGAGATCACAACTAAAATCCAGTAGGCTTCACACCCACAACCCAAGCACGGTGGCGGGATGGGCCCATGGCCATTGTGTGTGTGTGTGTGCGTGTCAGGGTTAGTACATTCATATATATATATATATATATATATATATATATATATATATATATATGGACATGTACACATCAGAGTGAGGGTGCCGAACGGTCATTCACTGTCCCTGGGTGCGTGGCTGATGTGGAATTCCGCGGTGCGGATTCTTGTTGTTGTTGTTGTTGTTGTTGTTGTTGTTTGTTGTCGTCGTCCCACCCGCAACCCGCCCCGCGACCCACCCGCGACCCACCCCGCGACCCACCCCGCGACCCACCCGCGACCCACCCGCGACCCACCCGCGACCCACCCCGCGACCCACCCCGCGACCCACCCCGCGACCCACCCCGCGACCCAACCCGCGACCCACCCCGCGACCCCCCGCGGCGCGACCCACCCGCGACCCACCCGCGACCCACCCGCGACCCACCCGCGACCCACCCGCGACCTACCCCGCGACCCACCCGCGACCCACCTTCGACCCAAACCACGTTCAAGGTACAAACCACAATTTTCGGCGCCTGCGGC